GCAGATGGAGTATGTTAGAGGGCCCAGGTTTGGCTCCGTCCTATATTGAGGAAGCCTCAGTAGCTGCTTCCAAGCCCCAGGGCATAATGGGTGGTAGAGTGTGGAAGGTCACAAGCTCAGGGGTGGTGACAGCCTGTGTTTCCAGGAGAGCCCGGTGTGCAGCCAGCAGCTGCTGCTCTATGACGTGTAGAGCAGGGCCTAGGAGGGCAGCTTCTTCCATCAGAAGCCTATGGACAACTTATGGCCATCACGGGGGATCCCAAGACTTCAGGAGGAGTGATGGGCAGCTGCTAAAGCCCCCCCCGTGAAGGAGTCCCTGCAGTACTCACGGCAGGGCCTGTTGTAGACTTTTGTTGCGGGCTGGGAGGTCAGATTTATTATGAGTTGATTTGCAAACAGTAGTGTCAGTGAGATTAAGAAGACTCAGTAAATGAGGAATATTGTGTCACTAGAACCCCAAAAGAACTGAAAAATACTGGACTTGTGTTAACATTGTGGGTGCAGAGAGGGCCTGGGAGGGAGCAGCCCTTGGACGCCAGTAATCTTTATGAATTTAACTCACGTGGTGGGGCCTTGCTCTCTGTGTGGTGTGAGAGCCCATCCCCTTCTGTGGGCGTTTTTGATGAGAATGTCCAGTGAATGCCCTCAGAGGAGGCTGTCATCCACCTAATGTCATCCCCTGGTCCCGACAGTGTTGGGTGCAGGTGGATCTGGCCTGCAAGGCTTGTGTGTGATGACTAGGATGTGGAAGTGCCCCAGCCTTATAAAGATGTATCACGTCCCTTTGGAGATGAAGGGAAATAAGCACCAAACAGAACGTATTAGCCAAATCTAAAATAGCAAAGCATTTCCTAGTTGCTGATTTGGAATCAGTGATCTCAGTCGTACTGGGTCTTGGGTATGGGAACCTTCAAGGGCAGGGCCGAAGCAGTGAGGCTTCTGCAATCCACTGTGAAGCACCATTCATTTTTTGCAAGTTTATGAACAGGCCTAACTAGGCTGTTCAGTGGAGAAGCAGTTGAGATGACCACCCTTTCACTCATTGGGTCTTTTTACAGGGTCTCACTCCGTCACCCAGACTAAAGCACAGTGGTGTGACCATAGCTCACAGCAACCTCAAACTCCTGGGCTCAAGCGATCCTTCTGCCTCAGCCTCCCAAGCAGCTGGGACTACAGGCGTGTGCCATCATGCCCAGCTAATTTTTTTTAATTTTTTTGTAGAGACAGGATCTTGCTCTTGCTGGTTTTGAACTTCTGACCTCAATCAATTCTCCTTCCTCCTCAGCCTCCCAAAGTGCTAGGATTACAGGTGGGAGCCACTGTGCAGGGCCTGCTCAGTGGGTCTTATACAATGCCTTTTGACCTTTAAAGGCCCTGTTTCAATTTACATTAGGATATATTAATTATTTTAACTTGGGGATCAATAGGACCTCATTTAGTTAAGCCATCTTGTAGTTGTCACAATTTTGATTTAATATTCATTTATGAGGCCAGAGCCCACTATGACCATGGAAATACAGGAAAAACAACAATTCTGAGGCATATCTGTTTGTCCTCTATTTTATATTCAGTACCTCCCCTAAGACTGTAGGGGCACGGTGTTTAAATTTAGTGGTATCTCCAAATATAACTGCTAATTTGAGCCCCAGCACAGATTAAGTCCACGAAGGTTTGCCAGTTAATCCATTGTAGCAGCTGTTAAAGGCAATTCAAGATCTGTGTTGTAGAACACAAAGCCGCACTGCCCGCTTTTATCTTTTTACTATTTAAATTATTTGAGTGAACTCTGGATTTCCAATTGGGTCAAAGTTGGGGGCTCTATTTCAGGGGGGTTTGTTTTTGTTTGTTTGTTTTGTCTCCTCTCCTGTATCCAGGTGTCTTTTCTGTCTTTTTTTCATGCCCATTATTTCCCAGTCCCTGGATATATTTGGGGAGCATAGCCGTCTTCTCGATTATGCTCACATTTATACACTTCTTACCCCGGAGAACCTTAAACCTGGATGGTCAGGGTTGGGGGCTTTCCCTGTGATAACTCACGTACTGGCACGTGGTTAAGGACTCTGGGCTCACACCAGATGTGCCTCAACCTTTACTGTCCTCAGGGATCCAGGGATTTTCCTTTTAAGTCGAGGATCAGGTTCTTTGTTGCCGCCTGGGCGTAACTGGAGGAGGGCCGGGCCAGTAACCCAGAGTTTGAGGACCAAAACCAAGCTCTGCTGCGGCCCTGTCTTCTCTGCCACATAGGTTTCTAAACAATTAAGAATTCATTACTTTATGCATTTTTTTCCTCTCTCTTACAAATTCTTTCCAAATATTTTGGATTTTTAGCCACGTATGGCTGTGACTTTCCTTTTTTGTGTCCCATCTGTTTCCATCCACGATGGGGATCTTTGGGGTGGCTACGGAGAAAGAGATGGGGTCTGTGACAGCCGTCTCTTCCTCCAGGGAATGTCAGTCGGCCTGCCTGGGGATGAGTCCTCATCCAGGCAGGTGGTTTTGTCTGTAGCCTGGGTCCCTCTAGGGCGGGGGCCCCACAGTGATGAGACTCTGTGCCCTGTGGGAGCGCAGCAGTGCTGAGTAGCCCTGTGCCCTGGCCCCGCTCTGCGCTGACAGCGGCTGGGCACGAATGCCTCTCTGCCTCTTTTCTTTCTTCACCAGAGCCCAGCTCACACCTGCACCTCCATGCCCTGGGGCATTGGAAGGACAGAGGGGAAGCAGCAGGAGGGGACAGGGTGCTGGGTGGAATTCTCCCTGGAGTGGCGGTCTCCTGCGCTTCTGCAGACCTCACAGAGGGCCATCTCCACTCCTTTCCTGGGGGTGCACACCCACAAAAAATGTCTCTGGCTGCGCATGTGGCCAGTGCAGCAGTCCAGGGAGCTGCAGTGCTCGGAGAGGCTCGATAAGCAGGATGGAAGTAGCAGCCAGCTGGGCTGCTGCACTGCCCCTGCCGTCCCACGTAGGAACCTCCTGCCCAGCACGGGCCCACTGACAGCACAGCTGGGGCCGGTCAGCACACAGAAGAGAGAGCAAACACGCAACAGCGACAAGCACAGCACCACACAGGCCAGAGTGCACGTCTGCTGGCAGTTGGCAGCTCCCTCCAGCTGCCTGCACC